AACCCCTAAACCCCTAAACCGTGTATTCCCCGCCTCAAGTGCCGCAGCTCGACTCTTTAGTTTGAAATTTTGATGTTCGAAGTATTCATCCCCATAATAGACCTTAACCCCAAATAGCCTACCTTTTTAAGGACTTATGTAAGGAAATCACAATTAAGGAACCCTAACAAGGTGGGTTCTTTAGGGTCCAGGGAAGCCATAAAGTTGGATTTATTCTCATCCTCATGCCCTTAAGGTAAAGTATAAGGGATCCTAGCACTAGTCCTCCGAAACCTTTCTGGGTTTCACTATACTGTAAACCCGCGTAGGGCCCTGAACCCTAAGCCCCAAAGCACCATACATCCTGTCTCGTAGGCCTGCATCGAATAACCTGATGAATGGCATCCGGGGCCATTGGACACGAAAGGAGCGGGCCCAGGGGATCTCTTGCGTTCAGAAACTTTAGGGTTTAGGCTTTAGGGTTTAGGGTTTCTTCTGCAGGCTTCATGTGGGTAGTTTTCTAAATTAGGGTCCCGTTTTAGGTCCCAAGTATAGTACGGCACCCTTATAAAAGGGGACCCTAAAAAGGACCCTAGTTTTAGAGAACTACTCATGTGGAATCTCTCTGGGATCTCAGCGGGTGGGGGTTTAAGGTTTTAGGATGCTATAGGGCTCTAGGGGTTTAGAGTTTTCGGGTTTAGGGTTTTAGGGTTTAGGGCTTTAGGCTTTGGGGCTTTAAGCCTTTTTGCGTTTTTCTTGGGTTTAGGGTTTTAGGCGTTAGGGCTTTAAGGCTTTTTGGGTTTAGGGATTTATGGTTCAGGGTTAGTTTTAGGATTAGCTCAGGGTTTGGCGGGAAAGCCTGGAGGGTTGAGGCTCTGGGCTGTTTAGGGTTTAGGGTTTAGGGTTGAGGGTGTAGGAGTTTAGGGTTTAGGGTTTAGGAGTTTAGGGTTTAGGAGTTTCGGGTTTAGGAGTTTAGGGTTTAGGAGTTTAGGAGTTTAGGGTTTAGGGTTTAGGAGTCTAGGGTTTAGGAGTTTAGGGTTTAGGGTTTAGGGTTGAGTTTAGGCTTTAGGAGTTTAGGGCTTAGGGTTTAGGGTTTAGGGTGGTCCCCTAAACTTGAACAAATTCACGGTCTCGCTTCAAATTTTATCTCAAGGGTTCAGCGGTTGCGCTAGCAATCGTAGCTACGGGCCACGAACGCTTCAAGACGGCGCTGTCGATCATGAAGGCGACTTCCCCATCACGTTCAGAGGCATCAACGGCGAGTCCCAGAAGTTTGGCTTCATATGATTCCGACGGAGATTCAGACATGGATCCGGGTCCGCAAATTCCAGTTGCGGGGCCAGAGAAAGGGTTCTTCGCCGGGTTGTCGGAGGAGTGCAACTTGCTTGTGTACCTCCTCAAAGACAACCTCAATACCGGTGCAACCCCTATCGTCGTCATGTACCTCGCCACAGCCACTGCGACCACCGGGGCTACCTGGAGCGGCGCCCTCGTTGCCGCCATGATTGGTCTTCTCTACCAGACCTTGTTCGACCTCGTGAACCAGTGGAGAGGTGTTGAGGAGGACATTGTCAACAAACCTTGGCGGCCCATTCCACAGGGCTTGATGACTGATCCCAGGCTCGAACTTGCGAGATGTCACCGAGCATGTACATTCATGCATCCAGAGAGTTAAGTAAGAATGACGTTGGGGCTGTTTGGTTGAATTCAAAGCTCAGGTTTGTGGGTGCAAGATGCGCATTGGTGCTGTGGCCATGGCATGTCTGGCCGCATCGTACCCTTACGAGCTGGCAATGCCGTGCGTCTTGTGCTTTGCGGCAACATTCGGCTATGCGGTTGGATGGGACAAGAACTTCATCTTCAAAGCTTTCGTGTTCATGCCCATGATCTTCATGATCCACTTTTACGTGCCCACTCGTTTGGCGCTCGGACGAGCTTCTGATAGCAAAGCACTTTGGAATTGGGTGGTCAGTTTCGCGGCCTACTACTCAATTCCTTTTTTGCTTCAAGACCTTCGTGACGTCAATGGTGATGCCAAATCAGGGCGTCGGACACTTCCAGTTTTGCTAGGTGCCCAAAACTTTCGAGCCATGTTGTTTGTGTTAGTTGCCGTGCTATCACCGCAGGGGTTTTATGGGCTGCTGGAAGCTTTGTGGGCCCAGCAGCCGTGCTTGGCGTTGGTGTGCACTTTGTGGAATTCCCTTTTCGCCCTAGCAATCTTGTATATGCTCGCTACTAGTGACAGCGTGAAAGCAGACAGGCTCGCGTACAAGCTGGTGGTTCTCATGTATACATTTGGTACAGCCCCTTGCTTCTACTTCATTGTCCCCTCTGTTCTTGCGTCAGAAGTACCGCCTGGATGTTCCAAATAGAATAACACCTGCTAAAGCGCAGCTTTACTTTGCTACTGCTCCTCACAGATCCAGCTGCAACGGTCGTGTATTATCTCATAGCTAGGTATGCTCCTGTGCTGTTTGGATCCTATACACCCTGGGGACAGTTGCGGGCAGCAGCTTTTCCAACGCTCGTCTGGTCAGGGGCCGATAGACTCTCAATACTATACCTTAGGGTTCCTGATGAGCGTATTCATATGGGTAGTTTTCTAAGTTGGGTCCCTTTTTAGGTCCCCCAAATAGTACGGCACCCTTATAAAAAGGACCCTAGAAGGGACCTTCATTTAGAGAACTACCCATATAATATGACCCACAGCCCGAATGTAGTTGTATTCCACCGTACATGCTAACTGGCCTCGACTCCACTTCCATCGGAAGCGCTTTTCCACACCGGCTCGCGCTTTTTCCAGACCGATGCTGCGCGTTGCCCAGATTCCTGAGTAGCACCCTTCTGCCCTTTTTGTGGGGCTCCTTTAGTGGAACCAAATAGTTGGAAAAAGGGTACCCTTATTCTTACGGGGCTACTCAGCAACCTAGTTGCAACGAGCTTTGTCTTTTCTTAAACCCGGCCGGCGTCCGGAAGTCCTCACTACATCTTCCATGACAGGCAGCAGAATTGTTCCTTGTCCGGCAATTTTGCGCCTCCGCTGCAGGGCCCAACAGCTTGCACATCGCGAGAACTAAAACTGCTGATGTTTTGTCCCCACGCCAGCTTCTGGTACCCTAGACCATAAACCTTAAAAGTCTAAAGAGAGAACGATGTGGCCTGGTGGGCTGCTGGTCCATGCTTGAATGTATGGACAGCTATGTATTTCAGTTTGCCTCCTTCTGTGTTCGTTCTGTCTTCGAGTAGTAGCAGTAGTAGTAGTAGTAGTAGTAGTAGTAGTAAGGAACTCAGTACGCCAGCAAGCAGAATCAAGAAAGGAAGGAAGGAAGCAAGGAACAGCAAGGAACAACAAGATGTAAATACAACCCCTTACAAACCCTAAACCCTAAGTAGTGTGTGCGGGTGTCCCGGCACGACATTCCATGCCTCTGGAAGGAAGACAAGATGTCTCTGGGTACGATCTCCTCAAACAGCATGGCATCTCGGCCGGCGTAATGGAGGGTCTAGCGATTTGGGTTTAGGGTTTGGGGTTTAGGGTCTAGGGATTTCGGATGTGGTGCTCAAGGCTTTGCGGCTTTAGGGTTTCAGGGATTGGAATTCTGGGTTTTGGGTTTATGCGACGTGTTCCCTTCGGTCTTGGTTCAAGGTTTTTCGTGCAGGGGAAGCCACTTAAGTGAAGCTCGAAGCACTGAGCACTAAGATTTGTTGTTTTGGTTTGCTTCGGGATGGAATTGAGGGGGAGGGGAAGGGGGTTGGGAACCCCAAACCCCACTAATTCCTTTCACTAATCTAAACCCTAAACCCTATAAACCCTAAACCCTAAACCCCAAACCCCACTAATTCCTTTCACTAATTCCTTTTCCAAAACTGTTCTGAGGAGCCTGGGAGTTCTCGGGTTTAGGGTTTAGGGTTTAGGGTTTAGGGTCCCTAGCTCGATCCCTCAAAGTGAAGAGCAAGATGGAGCTTGTTCGGAATCTTTGTGCAGCAGCTTTCGGCTGGGCTTGAAAGACTTTGGGAGGTAGGGGTAAACGCTTAGGGTTGAGGGTGTTTAGGGCTCAGGCTTTGTTTGTTTTTTATTTTTATTTGGTTGGGGGCCGTGATTTAAGATGTATTCCCCAAACCTGCCTTTTCAAGAACGCGCATGCGTTTTGCACTATGGGTTAGGGTTCCCCTCAAGCTTAGGCCTTATGTAGTTTACTACTAAGCAGTTAAACAAAGTTAAAAGGGCTCATAACATCTCATAACCCCATACTATTCTTATTACTGGTGTTATTGTTTATAATGATGCCAGGTGTGGGAGGCTCGCTACAAGCACAAGCCGAGCGCCATGTGGGAGGCCGACATTAGAAGTGAGTGCCCAAAACACCACCCAAGCTTGGCTTCAGGGTTGTGGGTTTTGCGGTTAGGGTTTTACGGCTTGGGGTCAGGGATTGGGGTCAGCGTTTTGGTTAGGGTTTCAGGGTTTGGGGTCAGGGTTTAGGGTCTTGGGTTTGGGTTTATAAAGACCACCTGACATAGAAAGGATCTCGCAGATAGTGGGTTTTGAGGAATCCCTCTGATAGGCCCCATCCTTATATGTTACCTCGGGGCCTTAATAATTACCTATACTATTTTGGAGGGTTCCTTATTATGATTCTAATGTAGAGCATAATGGACCCAGAACCCTACTCTAACGGTTAAGGCCCCTACATTACTCCAGACGTGAGTGCTGGGGGTTCTTTAGCTGTTTGCAGATCAGGGCTGTAAAGGAGCTCGTGGGGTGCGTACATGGCGCTCTTCGGCTGGACGGGTTTTACCACGGATTTTCTGCAAGGGTATACAGGGAGTTTTGGGCTGTAGAGTGATACTGTAGACCCCTGACTAGACAAATGCGCCCCTAGGAATGTCTGGAATGACATTACTGCTCACGCAGTTCATGACAAATCGATACGGCGAAGACCCGTACGACGAAGAGCAAAACTGATAGCACTAGGTCACTAGGAATGATAGTAGCCCTAATAGAATAGGGTTCTGGGCTATATTATACTAGAATTATACTATAATAAGGAACCCCCCCAAAAAACTAGTCTGGGTAATTCTTAAGGCCCCTATATCTAAGCCCAAAACCATGGGCGGCTCACAGGTCGGGCCAAACAAAGTGAAGATGACATTGGCGAACGAAGATCACATCGGGACTGTCTCGACCCGTCCTCAGTCAGTCCGGGCATTCAACTGCTCATGAGCCTCAGACTCTGATCCATGTTCTCAGATGTTTACGTATCACTATTATTATTGTTATTATTATTGTCAATACTATTATTGTTATTGTTATTATTATTGTTAGTATAATTACTGTTACTATATGTATATATATATATATATGTGACAAAGACAGTGATGGTTCAGGCTTTGGCATCGAGAAGCTCTAAGCATCAATCCCTGAACCCTAAACCCTAAACCCTAAACCCTAAACCCTAAACCCTAAACCCAATCCCTGAACCCTGCACTGACAAGTTCGGAACGCCCGAAGACCTGGGCCCGAAGCTCCGGCCAGTGACTACTGAACTAGGGGTTAGGGTTTAGGGTTTTGGGGTTTAGGGTTTAGGGGTTAGGGTTTAGGGTTTAGGGTTTTGGGCTGGGGGTTTAGGGTTTAGGGTTCAGGGTGTAGGGTTAGGGTTTAGGGTTAAGTTTAGAAGTCTTTCCGAGGATGAGCGACAATCCTCTCACGATTACCTGGGCGGACGGAGAGGCAGGCTTGCCGCATTCTGCCGCATCTTGCCGGTAAGAAAGTTCGGCAGATGGAAGGAGCTCATCCAAATGAAGCAGCAAACAAAAGCGACAGTAAACATCATCATCTTCTTCCTCCTCGTCATCAGTAGCAGCAGCCTCAGCAACAACAACAACAACAGCAACTGATTGTCCTGGTCATCATCGACATTGTAGCATTCATCTTTTTGCTATGCCATTTCCGAACTCATAGTCATCATCGTCGGCCTCCTCATCCTCATGACCAACAGCAGCAGCCCTAAAGCCTAAACCCTAAACCCTAAACCCCAAACCCCAAACCGTAAACCCAACCCACCCTCAGACCCAACTCTGCAAGGTGTGGGTGAGAACATTACCGTGAGCTCGTTGTAGAGCCATTTTCCGCCCACGTTGGTGGGCCAAAGGTCTCCATCTTCGAAGCCTGCATCTCTCTTGTTACGGCGTTCACTCGGCTTTCACGGGGTTTTCGGCCTTCAGGATTGTATGGTGTTAAGTTTCCCTGATGTAGTATAAGACACCCTGGCCCTAGAATCCAAAAAGATAAGGATTCATATAGAGAGCTCATAAAGATCCAAGGTTTCTTAATCAGGTTCCTACATTAAATAAAGCCTGAACCCCTAAACCCTAAACACCTGAACCTTATTTTTGTTTTGCCACTTCTCGGTCTGGTGGATTTGGGGCTATATGAGCTATATGGCCTGAAGCCTTTGAGAGTTTAGTGATCGAGGGGTTCTTCAGGTTTAGGGTTTCGGGTTCTTAAGGTTTAAGGTTGAGGGTTTAGGTCCCTTAAGGTTTAAGATTCAGGGTTTAGGGCTCTCAAGGTTTAAGTTAAAGGTCTAGGGTTTATAGTGATCAAGGGCTATCTTAGGGTTTCCGGATTTCGACTTCAGGGTTTTATTTTTGAGGATTCAACCCCGCTTGACTTGAAGCCCTAAGTCGGCCACTTCTGCATGGAGATCAGGCTTCTCCCACCTAGAGACGCCAATAATATCGGGGCCTAAATAATTAGCTATACTATTTTTTGGGGGTTCCTTCTTATAATTATAGTATGATGGCCCCAAAACCCTATTCCAACTATTAAGGCCTCTATATTAGCCCATGGCTACAGCAGAATCTTATATGGGGCTTATCAGCATTAGCTCAAGAGGGCTTCTGATCGCAACTGTTGAAAACACGATTCCTGAATGAAGGGATTTTGGAGTCTCTTCGTCTAAACCCTAAACCCTAAACCCTAAACCTCTTCGTCCCGTCTCACCGTACCTTCTCATAGTTGCCCGGCTCCTTGCTGCAGTCAAAGGAACTCTGGCGGGCGTACCCGGCAAAGCGGAGGGGGCAAAAAGGCAAAAGAGAATCAGCCCTAAACCCGAAACCCTAAACCCCTAAAACAGCTCTCGGTTAAGGGTTCGGGGCTTCGGCGATACTGAGGCGAAGGGAAAAAGGTTCTGCCCTTACAGGTCCGGGTGGCTTTCATGGGGTTTGGTAGGGGTTTCATGGGGTTCTAGGGTATTGCACGGCAGCGATTGCTTTTTCTGGTTCTGCCATGCCTTCCAAGAGTGTCGTCAAGTGTGCAATGAGAGTGACCTCAGTTTGGGAAAGCTAAGCAAGTTTTCCCTCCCTCGCCCGCTGC